TCAATTTGACCATTTTGAATACTCTTGCTAAATTTACTGGTTAACTCCATGGTCTGGTTACAGATCTGTGGGTGGGCGAAGGTAGTATTATCTTAAGTGATTTATTTTGAGGAGAGCAGTAATGAAGGCACACTTTAGGTTATTTCATTCCTGTGATCTAAATTTGATTATCAAGCTAATATCATTTGAAGCTTTAATAATTACATCTCAAGGCCTTAAGAAAAAAGATTACGTTGACTCCACATTCACGCACAGCCTTTCAGAGAGTTACCCTCTGAGAGCCTGTTTGGCTGCTTTTAAAAAAATCAATGGATAGCAAGATTCCATTTTAAGAGTTCAAGTTCATTTGACACTTTGTCCTTTAAAAAACCCAAAAGCTAGGTGCAAGCAATTGTTTTGTGTAGAAGAGTTTTAGCATTGTTTATTTGAAAGAGTTAAAAATATACGCTATTGATTTTATCTTTTCTCTTGGAGGACAGTTTGAGGATTTCTTCCCCCTAGAAAATTTCGAGACGATGGTTCATGCTAAAGTACCCTGTGCCATATGTACCACCACAGCTTTGGAACTGTCCCTGCTTCTAAGTCAAGGGTTCTCCCAGTGGCTAGGTGCCAGTTTTATCCTTGGATTTTCACGATCCTCGGCAATAAATCAACTTTCCAGTAACATCCTGTGACTGTTCTGTTTTACACAAAAGTGTGCAGCCTGGCGATGTGATACAATTTAGTATTTTAGGTGGAAAGAAGGGAATGAAAATTACCATTACCACGGAGAAAGAGTTCCAAGTGGAGCCATTACTACAGAAATTGGGGGGTAGCCTAGGGATACCCTCCTCAGTCTTCCTACAGCCTCCCTAACTCTAAAGCTTGTTATTTTTATGGAAACAACAAAAACACATATGGCTGGCAAGTGTTCTGTTCCATATGCGGCACAGGTCAATACCTTCCATAAAATGAAAAAGCGTTGAGCAGGTCAATATTTCTTCCTTGTGGCAAGAAAAGGGAAAAAAAAAAATGAACAAATGACTACTACATATCACAACACAGATGAATCTCACAATGTTTGAAGATAAAAAAGAAGCTTGACACAAAATAGTGTATACTGTATTGTTCCATTTGTATGAAGTTCAAAAACACACGAAACTACTTTATTGTGTTAGAAGTAAGTATAATAGTTTACCTTTGATGAGGAGAGAGGGGGTTATGATTAGGAGGCATGAAGATGGGTAGGGTGCTAGTAAGTTCTATTTCCTGACCTGGATGATGAAAACAGAGGTTCCCTTTGTGATAATACCTTAAGCTCTATAGCTGTGAGCTGTGTCCTTTTTCTGTAAGAATTATTTACCTCAATTTAAAAGTTTAAAAATAATACCCCCACTGGGAAAGACAATTGTAAGAAATAGTAGAGCCCTGGCTGGATAGCTCAGTTGGTTAGAGCATCATCTGATACGCCAAGGTTGTGGGTTCAATCCCCAGTCAGGGGACAAAGAACAACCAATGAATGCATCAATAAGTGGAACAACAAATCAATGTTTGTCTTTCTCTCCTCTCTCCCTAAAATCAGTACATTTTAAAAAAAATTTGAAAAGAAATATTAGCCCTGGCTCATTGGTTAGAGGGTCAGCCTGCACACTGAAAGGTGGCAGATTAGATTCCCAGTCAAGGACATATACTTGGGTTGCAGGTTTGATTCCTGGCCTTGGTTGGGGCATGTGTGGGAGGCAACCAATCTATGTGTCTCTCTCACATTGATGTTTCTCTCTTTTTCTCTGTCTCCTCTCCCCTTCCCTCTTTCCCTCCCTCCCTTCTACTCTCTCTAAAAATCAATGGAAAAAATATCCTCAGGTAAGGATTAACAAAAATAAAATTAAATAAATAAAAATAAAAAAGAAATATTAGAATAGCATTTTGCCTAATTTTAAAAATAATAATTTTTCTTTATTGATTTTAGAGAGAGAGAAGAAGGGAGAGGGAGGGAGATAGAGACATCAATGAGAGAGAACATCGATTGGCTGCCTCCTGCATGCCCTCCACTGGGGATTGGGCCCACAACCTGGGCATGTGCCCTGACTGGGAATTGAACTGGTAACCTCTCAGCACATGGGTTGACGCTCAACCACTGAGCCACACCAGCTGAGCCATTTTGCCTAATTAAACCAACAGATATTACAGAGAAAAATAGAAAATTCAGATAGCCAAAGAAAAAAAATTACACAAAATTCAGGGTAGGGCAATGAAATTCTCATGTGCTGCTATAGGGAGTGTTAACTGCTGCTGCTGTCCTTGGGTAGCTGTTTGGCATTATCTATTAAAGACATGCATCTCTGGTGACTCAGATGTTCACCCCTGGGTACATAGCCAATAGAGGCATGTGACTGTGAACATGAGAAGAATAGCAACTCTATTCACAATAGCCTTAAACTGGAAACAAGCCAAACTGTCCATCATAGTAGGATCAATAAATAAAGGGTGGTATATTCAGCCTTGGAATACTATACAGTACAGAAAATGAGTGAACCGTGGTACCATCAGCAACATGGATGAAACTGAGAAACCTAATGTTAAGAGACAGACACTACAGACATAATATCACATGCTCCCATTTACTTAAAGTTCAAAAAATTCAAGAAAAGACGTTCTCTTTAGCAATATATATTTAAGTGGTGAAACTAAAGAAAAAAGTGATTATGTTAAAAGTGAGGGCAGTGGTAACCTCTTGGGGAGACGGTGGGTTGCGACTGGGAAGCGGTGAATGGAGTGCTGAGGGCCGTATGCTATTTCCTGACGTGAGTAATGGTTATGTAGGTGTCACTTTATAAAAACTCATTAAATTATACTTTTACAGATCATGTACTTTTCTGAATATGTATTCTGTTTCACAATATAAAGGTTATAAAGTCACAGGAAACCCAATTATTCAGAAATAGCCCTTTAATGCAATATGTATATTTTGTCCACATTAATTCGTAGCTTTTACTTATTTTTTTTTCTTTAATGATATGACCTCCTAGAAGAATTCCTCTTTGGATTCCCCCCCCCCCTATTTCCATTTAATTTTAACTAAGAGTAAATATCATACAAGCTTGATGCCCCACTGGAAGCCGAAAGCCATAAAGTGACTTTCAGGAAATTAGGTTGCTTTAACCTAAGCTACATTGATTCATAAACCAATCTGCAGGATTTTGCCATAGCTCATGGGAGACTTTCCTTCTCTGTTAATAATGCTGCTGCTTCAAAAGAAAAAAGCCTTTTCCCACCTCTTTAGAGTGTTGTCTTTTCAAAAGGAAAGGCCAGGCGATGACGGGGAAAGGCCCTCGGGAGTGGCCAGGAGGCTCGCGGCAGGGGAGGGGGTCATCCTAAAACCTATTACAATAGGAGTCATGCTGAGCCCATGCTGAGCCTGGCCTATGCCACATTATATTCTGGGTTTTTGTTTTTTTAAACATCAGACTGGTTCCATTGCTTCTTCTTGCCCCTGGAGCAGTGCAAGTGTTTCTCTCTGTGGCTGGAACACACTCTGCCTCCCTTTTGCTCTAACTCCAAGCAACCGCTACTGTTCTCCTGCACCCTTTCCATCATCTTAACTATGACATGCTCCGAGAACCCTTTTATGACCATCCAAGCCTGGGTGGGGACCCCACGAGTCTCCATGGCACCCTGGGCTTTACCACATCACAGCATTTGTCGCTCCATTTTGAAATTGCCTGTTTTCTTGTCCACAAGCACTCTCCTAATCCACAAGTTTCCAGCCTGCAAGACAGTGCCGGTTTCATCATCCTAACGCCAGGCCCTCGCACACGTGGGCTCTCAATAAACATAATCATTGAATGGATGGGAAACAGCTGTGAAATGAGATGGGCCGGGGGAGAGGGGTTTAAACTGTGCTTTCCCAACCCCTTCACCTTAGTCACACCAGCCCGGAATGCTACAAAATTCTCAAATCTACATAGTTTCAAATACTAAAAGTAATAGTTTGCACTTGTATGAGGTTTCATTTTGTTGAGCAGTTTATTATCTTGCATAATTCCAACAACACATCCTCCAAGGTGAACTGGGAAGCTAACAATATCATCATTGTACAGACTGGGAAACTGAGAGATCTGAATTAACTGGTCCCACATTATATGATTAGTTTTTAGTGTAAGCCAGGAACTAGTGACCCCTTAAGTGCAAGAAATGGAAACACATTCAGTGTATACTATATGCAGATATATTTTCAGGGAGTAGAAACATAAAGTAAATATGTGACACCATTCTGATTTTTAAAATACTTTAGTAGGTATTTTCTTTTTTTAAAGCATTTATTTTTTAGCTTTACTTTTCATCACCAGGCTAGTGCATGTTTAGTGTAGAAAATAAAACACAAATAAAATCAAAATCACTCATGGTCACATTGAATACAGCAATTGTTACACCATTTTCAAAACTCCAATTACACATTGTCTTGAACTCTTGTAGAGTAAAAACTCCCCTCCCACACTTTATTCTTTTTCTTTTATCCATTCTATTATTATTATTTTTTAAAATCCTCACCCAAGGATATTTTTCCACTGATTTTCAAATAGAATGGGAAGGCAGGCGAGAGGGAGGGAGAGAGGGAGAGAGGGAGAGAGAGAGAGAGAGAGAGAGAAACATTAATGTGAGAGAAACACATCGATTGGTTGCCTCCTGCCCGACTACAACCAGAACAACCGAGGTACATGACCTTGACTGGAATTGAACCTGACTCTTTGGTCTGCAGGCTGACACTCTAACCGCTGAGCTGAACCAGCCAGGGCCCATTCTATTCTTTATTTCTAAAATGTTCTTAGCCATTCTTGAGATTTTCTCTTTTATTCCAATGTTAGAAAGGTTCACTAAAATTTTGTTGGGATTTTTACTGGATTTGCATGGATTATTGAAGATTAATTTAAGTAAAATGAAAAGTTTTAAAATATTGGTTCCTCTCTTTCATCAACACAATCTATTCTGCCATTAACTTATGCCTATTTTAACGTCTTTTAAAAAATATAGAATGCTTCAGGAATGTGTGTGTCATCTTTGTGCAGGGCTGTGGTCATCTCGGCCTTGTTCCGATTTTAGTATGTGTGCTGCTAAAACGAGTACTGAGAAGACATTTCTTACTGTTGGAGTCTATCAGGAAGAAAAGGTAAGAGGTCAGATGTTCTTTTTGCTCTTGATGAGACAGAAAGTGAAAAAGACATTAGTCTGGACTAACTGTATCTATCGAACATAAAAGGATCTCGTTGTGCAACCAACAATGGTCCTGGCTCTTGCTATCTTGCCCCTTCTGTTATCTGAACAGAAGCTCTTTTTCTGTTGATGGTCGTGACAGAAGAAATGCGGTAGGACAAAGGGGTTGGGAGGATAGGAAGAGGAAGAGAGAAGAAGGTGGTCAGACCTGTGATGAGGAGGGCTGGGAGGAAGGATGTGTCGCTTGGGCAGGTGAAATGGGTGGAGAGAGAGCAGTAGGGAGGAGAAAAGGGAAAGACAGCAAGTATGGATTCCCTGGGTTTGGCTACTCCAGAAAACCAGCAGCATGGCTTAGGAGCTTGTTAGAAACGCAAATCCTGGCCTCAACTCAGACCTACCCAATCAGAATCTGTATTTTAATTAGTTCCCGGGGTAATTCTTTTGCACATTAAAGTTCCAGAAGCTCTTAGTTGCTCCCAACCAGTCTGAGCCAGTCCTGATCCTGTCATCAGCTTCAGACCTATTAATAGATGAAACTGGTTTGGTTGCCTAGAGACCTGGAAATCTGGTTCCTCCTGGAGGCTGAGTCTCAGTGTTCTAGAACCACTTTGGCCAAAGCCTTACGACTTCAGTTGGCCTCAGTTTCTCTGCTAAGCACTGCAGTTCTCTACAGGGGTTGGATCCTTGCCATGAACTCCAGCTTCCTCAGCTTGGGTCCTGATGCTCTGCCAAACTCTTGCTCCCCCTTCCCTTGGGAAGTACGATGTGATTTCCTACTCCCTCCTCAGCTTCTGGCTGGGAGCCTGCTGTGACTGAACTGATCACCTGGACCCATGCCTGATTTTGAGTATTGTCACCTGGACTTCTTCCAGAACTGAGTTCTGCTGGCATATAGGACTTGCTCGGATATCCAAATAGCCTGGCCCAATCTGAGCTGGTCATGCCCTTTGACCACGGCACACTGGCCTGCCGGGCTGCTCCTGGGGAAGGGCCAGCTTCTGACACAGGCTCTGGCCCCTCTGGACCTTTGCTCTTCCTTCCCCCTTCCCATGGCCTGTGCTGATGTGGCTCTGTCCTGTACCCAATGTCTCCTACAAAAACGAGGGAGGCCAGCAGAGACTAAGAGAAGCAAACTCTTTTCTCTCTTAACATTTATGACTCCAGGACTCCTTGGGCCTGCTTCAATGTGAGCCTTGAAATTCCAAACACTGCCCTAGAGCCCTTTATGTAAAAGAGCTTCTAAAAGTCACAGAAGACTGTTGAGCACAAACAGGTTAGTGGTTTTACATCTCTTGTGCTTTGGACCTTTTTCTAAGGTAGAAAAAAATGTCTCTTTTGTTGCCATATATATTTAACAAAAACAAGCCAATCCATATAGAAGCTCAGTACTTTCTCTGGTTACCATACAACCATTTCTCTTTAACGGATGGTACTATACCACCTGCCTTGCTCAGTTTATGGTGGAATATTATACAAAGTGTTTCACACCTGCTACTGCTGTGTTTTAAGCCAGCACAGAATGGCATGAAGTTTAAAGCAACCAGTCAGAGGGGACCATTTTGAAATAAACATTACTCTTTGTTAATTAATAATAAGCAATGACTATATCTTTAAGATCATTGCATAATTTCTATTTCTAAGAACTATTCTTATGGTGATTAAAAAACAAAAAAAAAAAAAAAGAGAGAGAAAGAAGGCAAGCGGTGTGACAGCACCCACAGTAGCTAAGTAATGGTGTGGGTGTTGTTTCATTATTTACATACATAACACTTTTACAAGAATCCAAATGTCTTTACACAAGAAAATATAGCACAGATAGCAGTCAAGACATGGTAACACATAAGAAAACAATTATCCAAAGGAAAATCTAAAATTGGCATAAACTGCACAGAAAGAGTGGATCGGTATCTACGGATTTCATTTGCACAGGTAAAGGCGGGCGTATATTGTTGCTTGCCACATTCAGAAAAGAAGTTGCATGTAAAATAGAGGTAAAAGTAGTAATAAGAGATGTCGACAATCAATTTGAATAGGAACTGCGCGCTATTTAATGAAGTCACTCCAAGTTTCTAAAGTGGCATGGCAATTTCATTGTGTTCGTAGGGATGGGTAAATATCTGATTTTCCAAAAAGCATGCTTGGCCAAGCAACATCAAAGGTTCTAGAGAGAAGTTATTCAAGACTAGAAAGAGTAAATGGATAAGAAATAGAACACAGGCAAGTGTTCACAATTCATTGCACCTTTCTAAAGGTCCACATTTTCTCAGGGTAGACTTTCGCTGATAATTCATGAAGAAACTGTACTTTAAAGTTATATAAAAGACCCGATTTTGATGAATATCATCGAGGTTCTCCTTCAGTGGCTTTCCATTTTACGCCTCCTGTCATGTTCTTTGAATTATCTGAATAAGGTTTCACCCCACCATTTGAATTTTTGGAAAAAGGGAAACCCGGTAAAATGGGAACATACTCCCAGGAAAATTTTCTGAAATGTTGCAGAAGCTTAAAAATAGAAAATTATATACAGTAACACATCGCTACTAGTGCTATTATAATGTTAGCATGTGTAGTTCTAGTCAAACCACTCAAAATTATGTCATTTGTCTTCCTTGTGTCTCTTTTGTTTTCATCAGTCACATGGCAAAACCAACAAAGACTGCACCATCCCGCTGAGGATTCAGCTGTGGACAAGCATCTGCCCGCTCATCTCTGGGGTAGCTATTATTAGCTCCCTTTGATTCTCTCATACGATACATACCCATGCCTATTAAGCTGTTTGTATGCCTCCTTTGTCATATTGCTCTGTGAATATGACTAGCTATGCAGTGCACTCCAGCAAAACCCAGGGGTCCCCATTTCCATGAGCCTTTCCAAAAATTAATATAATCTCTCTATTTTCTAAAATCATTATTTGTGAAAAAAAAACAAAGGAAAAAACCACACACACACAAAAAACATGTAACATCATATTGGCACTGATACTGAAACTTTCTACAGAAAATTTTACAGTACTGTACTGGGTTGTACAGTGTGTCCTGCCAAATCCGCATCTACCCAGCACCTGCAAACATCACCTTATGTGGAAATAGGGTCTTTGCAGATGTAATCAAGTTAAGATGATGTCATATTGGATTAGGGTGAGCCCTGAACCCAATGGCTGATGTCCCTGTAAGAAGGTCACACAGACACATCCAGGGAGATTATCTTATGAAGACGAAGGCAAAAACTGAAGTGATGCAACTGTAAGACAAGGAATGTCAATGATTGTCAGTAATCACCAGAAGCTGGACAGACACTTAGAATAGATTCTATCTCAGAGCCTTTGGAGGGGTGTGGCTCTGCTGACACTTTGAGTTTGGACTTCTGGCTTCCAGAACTATGAGTGATAAGTGCCTATTATTTAATCCACCCAGTTTGTGGTATTTTGTTATGGCGGCCCAAGGAAACAAATGCAATGCCCAATCTACAGGTTATGAAAATAAGTACTTTAAGTTATACAAAGACTTGATATTAACTTGCCCTTCTATGATAAAACTAGAAAAGAAAAAGGCTATTTGTTACGATGATATGGCAAGTGTAAGCCAATGATGGGATCAGAAATCGGTAATTCTAGCATCACAGGCAGGTATACCTATGAAAGAATGAATATTCCCGCCAAAGCACTAAGACACAGATACCACGTTTCAATGTGAGGTGTGAGATCCTCAATTTGCAAAATTTATAGGGCAGGTTGTCAAAATCTGATTACATGGCTCTTTAACCCCTTATATCAATTAAAAGTATATTAAAAATGAGAATTAGAGATGCACGGTGAGGGTTGATTTGTGCAGAGTAGTCTGTGTGCCTCGTGTCTCCACTCCCTTCCTAAGTCTGTCAAGGCCAAAGAGAGTGTGAATGGTCCCCTTGGATCAGACATGGGCTCCCCATGAGAGATAGTAGGCATGAGTTATCTTGTGTCCTAAGCTGGTCATCTGGTTGGGTGAACAGATAAAAAAGTTGGAGTTGGTACCAGATTCCTGGAGTTTGAGGAACAGTAAGTGGTCAGCCATATTAGGATTTACTCTGTCTATAGGGACATGCAGGTGAGAGAGGTCCTACCCTGGAGTGTCTCCAAAGAACTCTTACAACACCAACAAGAAAGGCAACTCTGAACATCTGTCCAAGCCAGAGAGCTCTGCACGAGATCTTCACAAGACTACTAGAAAAGTAAGGACTTTCCTGTTCCCCTTTCCTCATCTTCCTCCCAGAACTCCAACCTGAGAGATGTGACGTCTCCGTCAGAAAGCTGAAAGGGGCAGGGATGGGGAGAAGAGAGGGACCACAGGCTGCTCCGTTAACCAACTGTGGGTGTTTGTGGAGGCCAAGCTGGGGAGGGGAGAAGCCTAATTGTTGATATTTCTACCACGACATGAATCTAGACATGTTAATTATTGACCAAAGAATATGTTACCTGGAAGTGGTCAGAAGAAGAAAAATTTGCTCTAAGTTTCACCCAAAAGCAGAGAAAGTGTGAATTCTGTGGAATAAATTTAAAGTGTTGGCTTTATGATTGACTGCATCCTATGAGTCATGCTTGTTCTATGTAATAGTTACATAACCATTTCTAAATGTAATTGAATAGAGCAGTTCTTAGTGCCTTCTATATAGTTTTCCCCTGTGAAGTCACTATTTCTGTCTGAACTCGGGAAAATTACACGCCAAATTGTCCTCACAGAGAATGTTGTCCTTTTTATTTATTGTTTTTCGGCCCTTATGAAATGTCTAAACTGAAAAACTTTATATGCTTGGTACACATTAGTTCCTCAATAAATGTTGACATAATAAAGAAATGAACGGACAGTGAATAGAAACCCTGATGGCCTAGGCTCTTTATAAGTGCAGGCTATTCCCAAATTCCCTTCTAGTAGAGCAAG